TTCTAAATCATTAGAAGACGAGTATTCTGGACATTCTCAAAATTGTTCCACTTTTAGCTTATTTCTTTAGTCTTTGCCTTTATATCAGGTATACGTACATTGATTTTGAAAGTACACACGGTATAAATGCGCTTCTCTCTCTCTCTCTCTCTCTCTCTCTCTCTCTCTCTCTCTCTCTCTCTCTTTCTCTCAACAGATCGGCTACGCCGAATCAGAGCTTTACCAATTCATCGAGTCATGTGGATTGTTCTAAAAATTAGTTGTTTAATTATGATTAATAAAATTAAAGAATTTATGTATCAATTATTGTGATATGCAGAATGCGATATGATATTTCAATTTGATATGCATATAAATATAAAATTATTTGCCTTTTACACAATTGACATTTATCATCGTGGCTTGATCATTTTAAACTAAAATACATTCTGAAATTTTTTCTGATAATCCCAGAACAGTTATTTTTTTAATTGAGATGCTTATTCCAAGAAATATTAGACAAGAAATAAAAAGATAAGTTCACTGGGCAGAGATTTTAAATATTTTGATTATTTGACAATAGTGTTAGATTCAGTTATTCTTTTTATTTCTTGCATATATTTCTATCGAACATTTCTATCGAATGCTTTCAATGCAGCATTGAAAATATATTACATTAATCGGCGCATGTATATTTGCTGGACGAGACACTTTGACGCCAATCTTTTCCGTTGCATCGAATTTGATAACTTGATAACGTGCATTTACGATTTCTCCGTGAAGAAATATATCATTCATATTAAATTCTTACTAACATACGTGTTAAAAATTCTTGTTATTTCTTTTTCATTGTAAAACACTCTTCCATTGATCTCGCGTGCATTGTAATTAAAATGACTAATGGAAGAGATTAAAAAATGTCAATAAAATTCTCCGGCTATTTTATAAATATATTAAAAAAATTAAAATATACCTCCGAAAATTTCCTAAAATCTTTTAAATAGATATGCTACAGGTTAATTGTCGCTAATCATTCACGAGTATCTAACAGTTCACTGTGAGCTGTCCCAAATTAAGACTCTAATTGTATAAGATACTCTTTCTCAGACTTAAATTTCCACTAATATCTCGTACATTTCCTCGTTCACTGTCCCGATCATGGCAGTTTAGCTAGCTTACGTGTGTCCGAATCCGACAATCGGAATATCTTACCTACTCGCTTATCCTAATCGTGATCTTCGAATCACAAAGGACAGCGAAATCTGTCTATTCGCATCTGTCTATTTATGGAGCTCACACGATTTCAAAAAATTAATCTTTGAAATTCAATTATTATTACCATCAGTATTTTAATATAGACGTTATTAATTATAGCTATTGTTGATTGTAACTGTAAAAAAAAATAATATGCTCAATGTGAGTATACGTCTTTAATAATATTAATCGTGTGCGAACCCTTTGCTTTTTGCATTTTCTCTCTCTCTCTCTCTCTCTCTCTCTCTCTCTCTCTCTCTTTCCTCTCCTCTCCGTATTTTTCCTTTCGCACGTATACTATCACCATTCGCTCATTTTCTCTAGTTTATATCATTTAAATCAACTCCGCATAATCCAGGCACACTTTTCTACTTTTCATCTTCAAACAAATTACGTTTTCGTGAATCCATTTCAGCTCAGTTACTACAGAAGTATTATCAAGCTTTATTAAAAAATTTTACATCTGAGATTAATTTGTCATTTACTTGCTAACGTTATTTATAAACATCATTTTGTTGGTTTTATTTTATTATCCGATAAATTAATTTTTAAATTGTATAATAATGAACTAATTATGAATGGTAATAGCACTTGGTCTGAGCTGAAGAGGACAAACATGTCGAAAAAATAAGTATTGTAATCTAAGAAATGATGGTAACAAAGAACGTTGACCAATCGCACTCTTCTGATTTATAGTCTGTCGGCTCGATTCATAAATGTCTCAATCGTGGCGGCATTGATATGCATACCGATCAAATATTATGTCACGCGAGATTCGCAAAAGCTATACGAAGGTTACTTGACGATTCAGTAAAAATGAAGATATTTTCGATATTTCGCTGTGCACATAAAATCGGCGACGTGTTCTGAATATGTTCGTCAAAGTATGAAATAGTACTGGCGAGTTACCTAATTTCTTCCTTGCAAAGATCGTACGCAGATCGTTATTACTGGTCACAGAGAGAGATCGATATAGTATAATCAAACTCGAATGGAGAAATGATAAACATGCAATAGATATAATAAATTTGTACCTTATTTTGCAAAGTAAAGCTTTTTGAGATATTCTACAAATAATTTTTAATTGGAGTATACAATTATCATATTACTTTAATTACTCAGTTTTTAATAATTATAACTAAAAATAGTTTTTTGCTTCAACGTGAAAGTTCAAGATCTTATTATCATTTGTCGATCAAAGTTTCATTCAATTTATGTATATTCGAGCGTGATAAACGTAAGTTATCAACCGATAATTTCGTCGTTCACTGTGACGTGAGTTATGCGCTAAAGTCGCGAAACTAAAATTCTCATATGTTAATGATAAATTCTCTTATTTCTCTTTTTACCTCTTCACTTCGTTCTCATCATTATAACTTCTACATATGTATATGCTTTTCCTTTTTCGCATTCGTAATCTATGGAAACGGCACAAAGCTGAACGGCTAATGGTAGATACAAGTATATTACAAGTACACGTTCGCGAAGTATCCGCCCGCTTTGTGCTCCCGCTTCGCCGACTGAGAAGCGGAGGAGGAAAGTGATTGTCCCCGTAGAAAGCTACACGAGGTACTAGTATATAGTCGCTGAAGAAAGAATCTCTTGATTTATGATATCCAAAGAAATTGCAAGCACCAGTTTCGAAGTGCTTTTTAGCACAATCTTTTATTAGAGCGAATAAAATAAAGGTCGAAAAAAAGTTGTCCGAACTCATTTGTAGATTTATTCATTGAAATGTATGGTATACCTATTTGCTCTTTAATTAAAAAGTTTCTTTTTATTATTTGAGAGAACGCAAGAAGTTATATATATATATATATATGTAACATGCATATCCAATATAAAGCTAATTAGTAGATTTGGCTGCAAAGTTGGCTGGAAAAATCCAGTGGATAGAAAAATCATGGTAAATTCCGGATTTTACTAATATCGGACTTTATCCAATGGAATAAATTAACAAAAATCATAAAAATGATTAATATGTAATTTTAAAGTAATATTTATGTACTTTATGCAAAAAGATATTTTTAATATGTAAAATACATTTTTAAAACAAGAAAACTTTGAAGATAATATAAATGTTATTAAATTTAATAATTTTTAGTTTCAGAGAAATATAAAATTTGTATCAATATAGATCTGATTCGCCCATCTAGTTTTATCATTCAATATGTTGTGACAAAAAACTAGTTCCATTTGTTACGCCGATTCTTAATCTATTACGGATTTTATTTTTAATAAAGCTTAAATTGGAAAACATTCTCTCAATTGGCGTTAAACTAGAATAGTGATACTAAAATACTGAATTAGAATACCGATAACAAAATTTTCCATTTATTTTTTGCTTTTAGTAAAAAAAAAGGCCAGTTTTTGCCTGTTTTTTCCGGAAAATATCGGTTTTACTAGCATGGATTTTATAAAAAAAAAATGTGAAATTTTGCCAATCCTGTTTGGCTGTGAATTGTCAGATAAAAAAAACAGACGATGAAAGCAAATTTTATTCATGAACAAGTTTTTTCTTAAGGATGAAATAAATTGCAATTTCTTATTATAGCTTTGTCGGCCAATATTCATGCACTAATATGCATTTCAAGCACGCTTTTGCGTCAGATACACGCGTGCGTGTACATAATGATTTCACGGTAATGATTTTCCATGTAATAATTTTGGGAAAAATCCTTTTTTTCGACGTTTCTCTTTTTGAATCGCGCTTGTACGTATTTCAATTTAGAAGAAAATTACAATGTTTTGTATAATCGCTACAAAGTTCATGCAAATATTATAAATTGTAGATGCTGTAATTTAATAGAATTTTTCTTTAAAAAATCCTATAAATCTGTTCGTATATTCGCCATCATAGTCGGCTTGGCAGTTTAATACTCGATGTATGTTTTGTTATACTTTTTTTATGTTTATTGATACATTTATAGAGATGTGCTATGAATACTGTGAATACGATATATGTCAAGGATGACCAACCCATTAATGGCACGCGAAGATATTTTTAGTAGGTGCTCGCTTAAAAAAGCACATGCTGTTAGAAAAAATTTAAAGAATCAAAAATATCAGTAAAATAGCAACCATACTCCATTAAAATCTATTTTTGATATTTGCACTCTCTGATTGCATTCGTTTCATTCGTTTTCAAAACTAACTATTTACTTCAAAATGAATATAAAACAGAACGCAGGAGAAGAGATAAACGGAAAAAAATCTTTTTGCTTGCAATACTAAAGAAGAACGTATAAGTAAGATTACGGTCTTTTTTTGTTTAACTTTAGAGAGATTTATTTTTAAAATCTTACATTTCTCTTTTTCTTGAATAAAATTTATGATTCATTATTTCATTGTATATTCTTTGTCTCAAAATATAATACTATTTCAGTATTCAAGATTAATTCTGTAGCAGAATGACATATCAAAGATTTTGAATCCACAAAATAGCACACTAGACAAAAAGATTAGCCACCTCTGATATATATTGCCTCTGATAATTTATATTGATAACTAATGAATCACGCGATGCAATTATCAATTGCAATAAAATACAAGTTACCGAGTTCGTAAAGACTTCCGCGAAAATCGTTACCGTGAACGGCGGATGCGATCCGTACGACTAAAACGGCGTTCTTCTCTCTCTACTGCTTCACAGAATACACACCGAGAAACACCTTGACTTACGTGACTAGGCTATGTAACGAAAACTCATTGCGCACACGTGCACCACGAGATCGAAGCTCTCGTCTTTCCTCCCTTTTACTATGTGCGTGTATTTATTACTCCCATTCTATTCACACTCGCACACGCTCACACATACGCACGCGTTACGTACGCACACTCACACTGTTTGTAATTAATTTTTTGTCCAATAATCTCTCGGACCGCGTGTTCGCGCCTCGCATTACGTCGACGATATCCCGTTTCTCCCTCCCCCTTGCAAACAATTTGTATACTTATATCCACCCGAGCGAATTTCGAAAAATCAGCATTCGTTCGATCATCTGTTCGAAAAATCTGTTTACTTCATTAATAGCTTGATTAGCGATGCAAACAAATCCGCGAATGTCGACTCGGAATATCGATCCTGCTCTTTCTCTCTCTCTCTCTCTCTCTCTCTCTCTCTCTCTCTCTTGCCTATCTTATTTATTTTCATTCGTATTTTTTTTTATCTACGTGTAATGCCTAACCAACCTTCATCGTTCAACAATATTCCGCGTCTATTTTATGACGATGAAATTTCTTCTGGGAAAACATATAGACTTTCGTAAAACGAGATAAAAAGGATTTACACAATTGTTCTTCGTGTCGAAATTGAATTTTTCCGTTCCTCTCGACCGTATCGGTCGTACTTCCGGTGCGGTTCCATGGTACTTAAGGGAGGTCAGAAGGTGGTTGGGAATTGCGTCTGCGTTACTTGTGGCTCGATGTTCGCCGATAACACGCGACCGATATCAGCAGAAGACGATTCGACGTCTGGCGTCGCCCCGTCCCCCAGGGGCGGTGAGGGCACCACCGCTCCGATTCACCCTGCGGGCTCTGGTCCAGGCCTGCCTCTGTCGACACAAAAGCGAATCGATTATGCATGTTGTTTGATTTATAGCCGCTTTCGCCGATATCATTAATAGTTAATATTGATTTAATTTATTCTGAAGTTTTTTGTGCAATTGAAACTACAAAGGCGCAAAGAATTAAACGGTTAAATGCAATTAATAGTGAAATGGAAATTTAATGTATCATACTGTGATACATCAAGTTTCTTCGTAATATTTATTCTATTTTATTCTATTGAAATTGTAGCAGGATTGTGTTATATTTACACTGAGCGCGTATAGAAACTTAAAATCCAATTTAGAGATACACACGTGATAGCAGACTACAATGTATTTTATAAACCATCCATAGCAGACTACAATGTATTTTATAATTCAATATTATCCATTTTTCAAAGGAAATATTGAAACTGATAATGTTTAAACGTGTATTTGAATATATTTATTTTGCACGGATTTTTTCATAAAGATTGATAAAAATTAAACACGCATAAAATGAGAATTATTTTCTTATATAAATACGAGTTATTTTATCCCCTCAGAACTTTAACTTTCTATAGAAGTTACTTATAATTCTGCGTGCGCGTTAAAACTTATATATTTAATTAATGTACAGAAGCAAGTCGCGGTAACTTTATGCTTTCAAAGGTAATTTATAATATACACAATATTTTACGCTCTGACACATACTTTCTGAACAATCTCTAAAATTCTGTAACCTTTATATCATAATTTGCCTGTTGAAACTTGTTTAAGTTTTAATAAAATTTAGTTCTTGCAAGTATCGCATATACGATGAAATTTCACTATTAAGTACCGCGCTCAGCGCTTTTCATAATACAAAAGCTATCATTGTGCCATAACAATAATACGTAATTATTCGAAATAACTGTGAAAAGCGTAATCATGTAATCACGTTGAATAATTAGCAGTCGATATATCGAAGTTACAGCGAGGCGTCTGTGAATATGATTTTTTTTTAACATTGACATTCAGCGGCCTGATTGCCTCGTAATTGCGCTTTGAAAAGCGACAAGTCTTTGATATACGAGTATAACAGAACGTCCACCCCGAGGCGGACCATGTAATTGCAACAATGGTAATGGTCATACTCTTTGTAATTGAAAATTTCATAGTTCTACCGAGCACAAGTTACGCTTATATTTCAAAGAGAATGAAGCGAACGACAGAATCATGGCGTGATTGTCGGATGCACCACAATTTTTAACTCACCTACACAAACCACTCGTCTTTCTGGCTGGAGGAGATGTCGCTGAAAAATAAAATGAAAGATATATATCAATTAATTGCATGTAAATATTATAGATGCGAACAAGGATTAAATAACGCTTTTTCGTTATGTAATTTATTTATTTGTAATATCTATCTTTATCTTATGACTATCTTATCAAGCTATCTTATCAAGAAATATCGAGATTTTTATTAAAATATTGCAATACAGAGTTATATTTATAGTCGTTGTGTATTGATACATTTTATAATAACTGAACACATAATAATTGTTTTGTTAGAAGTTTTGTTAAGAGAATTTTTTTAGTTTTAAGGATGTATTACATGTATTTTTTGACAATATGAAAAAATTATAGATTCTTTTTCTATATTAAAAAGTAATATACAAAGTTTTGCAACGATTTAGAATAATTGGATAAATTTAAATAAAAAAATTGTTTCAATAAGAATAAATATGTTCTTCAAAAATATTTAAGATAAAATATATTTAAAATAAAAAAAATGTTTTATTTAAATTATAAAATTGTTTTGATAAATATTGTATTGTATAAATATTGATTTTATTTTGTGTGTGTGTGTGTGTGTGTGAGAATTGCTGCTATATATTATTTATTTTTATACGAAAAATATCGATTTCAAATTCAAGCGCTTTTTGTAGAGACTTGATACATTTTTAAGTCAAAGTAATCGAATATAATTTTCTTTAAATTTTTTCTCGATAATTGCAAAATGAAAGAATATTATGTGTACATCATTTTATACAAGCATCCGTCTTATGCAAACATTCATTTCAAATACAATGAATTTTTTTATTACACTGTATAAAGTAAAAATATTTTACTGATACGAGTAATATTAATTATATTAAATTCGATATTATTATTCATCGATTAATTCATTTATAGTGTATTTATAATTCGCAAATCTCTACGTCTTATATTGATCACTCTTTCGTCTCTCACACGATCTTTTCGAGATTTGAATTTATGACAAAAGAATAAGACAGGCTTTCGAGAATCCGATCAATAACGATGGTGTATAATGCGATTGAAAGAAGATCAACCCTTTTTCGATTGGCTGATGTATTGTTTTTGCAACAAAAAGTACGCACCTTTTCCAATTTTTCTCGATTCTAATCTAAAAGTTATAAAAACGGTCTACGATCCTGATCGAGTTTCTCGAGGCGTTTGCCATTTTTACTGGCATTTAACATAAAACTCCAACGATGATTTTTTTCACTGCTGTATAAAAAAAAGTTATGTTCTATCTTCACACGATAATACGATAGAATCATTTTGTTGCAATTTAATTGCAAGTCTTCGTTGGATATTTTGCAAAAAAAAAAAATGTTTGACAATATATACTTGGAAAACTTTGTTTTAATATATAATGCATAAGAATTTTCATTTTCTTCAGTAAAAGAGTATTTTAAACATTAATAGAAATTCAACTATAATGTCTTTTTGAAGTTTTTAAATTTTTAATAATTTTATAATTTTTTTCTTCCTTTTGATAACGTGATACTTGTGATTCTTTTCTTTACAATGGAGATAGAAAAGTGAAAGAGAATACTGCAGTTATTTCACACAAATGTCCGAGGAGTCCGAGTACTACAGAGTTAAAAAAATTATAAAAGGAAATGTAACAACGCATTTTCTGTTTGAAAACACAATACAGAATATCTGGAAAAGTGAAAAATGTCTCACCTGTCGGAACCATGGCTCCTCACTTTGCCTGGCAGTAGAGGCGGACCCGGGCCGCGCTGTGCCCGAGCCTGAGGCCCGCAGGGCGCAGCCAGTTTCCCGGCCGTGGCAGGGTCGTGGCCCCCGTTATTCCCATCCCCGAGCCGTAGTTCCCCAGGGGCCCCAGAGTACCGGTTGTGCCCTTCAGCGTGGTCATGCCCATTGGTAGACCGACGCTTGCTCCGTTCGATCCGTACATCTGTTGCACTAAAATGCCGTAAGACACATCAGTCCCGCCACACCACCTGCATCCCTCTTGACGATAAAGTCAATCGTCGAATTTGCAAAATCTTTTTTATATACTTCGTAGAATTAAAGGAAAAATTTTATAATTATTATGCAAAATAACTCTATGTAACTCTATCTAATTTCCTGCTTCCATAGATTTTTTAAAAAATAGAATCATGAAAAATTTTCTAAAGGAATTGAATCTTAATTATAAATTTATAGAAATTATAATATTATTTGAACTTATATGTCATTGCGAAGTATTAATTTTCTATATATCGTCATGTAGGATAAGATGATAAAATTTTATATAACACGGTACAATTCTGAACGAAATAAGATTCGAATCCAATTTTCGAGACTCAACTTTAATTTTTTTATTTGGCGACATCCTTTAGTATCCTTTACACAATGAGATGTGGATTATCAAATTTGAACTTCAAAATTGAATTGAAATCTTATTTCCTTCGGAGAGAATTGCATCATGTTCGAAATTGTATCATCTTATTTTAAGTATCTTTTTATTAATTAATATTATTATTGCTTTACTGTTCTTCGTTTCTATTTAAGTACACATGTCAGAAAATATTATCTTCATTGAAAATAATATATAAAATAATATTATTTTCAATGAAGATAAAGAGCTATTTCGAGTACAATAACAAACAAGCACCCAAATATTACCTCTTATATCATAGAAAGGAATTTGAAATTCGTTTCTACGAGAGCAACATATAACAGTTAGAGAACAAGATTAAAAATTCTCTCAAGTTTTGAAATTTACATCCATTGATATATTCAATCTATTTCTCGAAAGTGACAGCGATACGCATTGCGCTTTTCCGCATGCGATTACGCGGTGAATTTTCTGCGCGCTCTTTCAGCCGTCATTTATCTCGACGAAACGGAACACAGTTTGCTTGCTTTATGGGCGAGCGGAATTCGGGTCAAACGGATTTCATAAGTTTCGGTCGAGGAAATGCGGTTAACGTTCCTGGCGATTTTTCGGCCCGTGAGACGTGGTGTCGCGAAAGCGTGAAATCTACGCGCGGAACGTGACAGGGATAAGGTGACCGGCGATCTTTGATAGACTCTCCGGCGAAGTTGCACATATTTACGATAACTATGCAAAAGTTTGGGCGATTTCGGGTGCCCGTACATCATGGCGTGGTTCTGACATCTCGCACGATTATACTGGAGTGAAAGCCGACGACGTGAATAGCGTAAAGTCCGTCCTTCTTGCCACACAAGATTTGTCACAATTGCAACTCGCGGTGACAATTTACTCCGACAATTCGTTGCGTATATAACTTTTTAAATTGTTAGATACATGTCAAGATTTTTTAAAATATTCTCGTTTGAAATCATATTTATCAATATTGAGAAATTTTCTCTCTTTAAATAATAAACAATAAAATATATATATTTCAAATTTAATAATTCTAACGTGGCTTTATAAATATAAATAATAAAAAAAAAGGAATAAATATTCACACGCAGAATCTATGTAGCGAAAGTCATTTATTTAAACTTATTTTGTTAACAAAATAAAAAAATCATAGGTGTTTCGATCAAAATTTGGCCATCTTCAGTATGTATAATTCAATTTAACGTCAATTAAAAAATTCGATATCAATATAAACACAAAATAACATAAAAACGCTTAGAGATTGTTAAATTCGTAATTGTCAATATAAAAATAAGTCATAAATTTTAACGTCTAATTTAAAATTTGATAATTACAAATAAATAAATTAAATCAAAGATAAGTTAAAATTTAACAATCTTTCAGCGTTTTTATGTTGTTTTGCATTTGTCTTGACATCGAATTTTATAATTGACCTCGAATTAAATTTTTACATACTAAAGATGATCAAATCTCTCTTTGACGGCGGAACCGTCTATGATCTTTTTATTTTGTTAACGTCATAAATTTAAATAAATGATTTTCGCTACGTAGATCTTGCGTGTGGCTATTTACTCCTTCTTTTCATTGTTTAAAAATATATTTCAAATCATTTTCGAAAATTTTGAAATCTCTTTTATGAATTAAAAACATACGCGGGTCCAGAAGAAATTAATAGAATTAACTGATGTATCGAAAAAGTATCTATGTCACAGAGAAATGCAAGTAATAAATGCTATCAAAAATGTGAAAATGTTTCAGACGTCCACCTCGCTGAATGGCGAAGAAGTGTGCAGCTTTGTGACATTCCTGCGCTTTTACTGGCTTACGCGATTTTTCAGTGCAAATAAGCGTTGCAGCGTTAAATATATGCTCGGGACGTGAGGGATAAACCCGTGCACGACTTTAGAAACTCGAGGCAACTGCGTATTAGCTTCATAAAAGTTCCGACTTTCGTGCTTTCGTATATATTACGTCTACGTGTAAACGGCAAGCATCACATTGTTAATTTAAAGAGAATCGTTGAGTATATTTTAATCAAGTATTATTATTCTCTACGATATAATCGCGTTTAGTTATTCGCTATTTTACAGTGTGATGTGAAAGCAACTTTCCGTTCATACGAGTGATTTAAATCAATGGCTCTTAACACATCTTGTTGAAAAACGATCGCTTGCACAATAAAACGATTAATTGCTCTCTCTATATTGTATTACAAATTTGATATTACACCATTCGATTCGTATGACAAAATACAGTAATAGCGTTATGTTACATTATGCAGAAGGATACATCGTAGCATGCGTTTCTCATATTTTTGTGAAAATGTTGTACCGCTTATGATATATTACTCTATTATACGTTTTCGCTGCATAGCTTGAATTTTAAACGACTGTAATGACGATCAATACGACGAGATATAAAGAGGAGGATTTATTACACCATACCGTATTTAAAGAGATGTATTTTTTATTTTCGCCATTTTACGTTTACGTAACTTTAAGTTAATATTGCGAACAGAACAACAAAAAAGAATTTAACTGTAAGCAAAAAAGAATGATTTAACTGTAAGTCGTATTATTGCATTAAAAGCAATACCCTCTCAATTATTTTGCGTAAAAAAGTGCTGATTTATAGTCACTGTCAAAATTGATATTTTATCTATCGAATAACTGCGCGAGTATGCATTTTCGCGTGATCTCTCTTAATTCAAAATGTCTCTCACAGGAGAATGGTGTGCATTCCACGGTGAAATTTCCATCTCGTTCATAAAGGGAGAGAGCCATTTTTTGATCTTCTCAACGACGTCGGCGTTTTCCGCAAATTCGCTGTTCGCGAACGACATTTTTCAGGGCATCGAAAAAAAGGGCCGACATAGCCTTAAAGAATGCCATCCGGTCGAAAATTTACGATCAACGCCGAAACTGTAGAAGGGCCGCGAAAATGGCTTCGAGAAAAGCAGAAAAAGATTTTTATCGTCAGCAGATTTATGTTCTTGTTGTTCAAACATTATTCTACGATATTGTATTCTTAAACAGATATTTATGATATTCTAAAGTAAATGTATCACGATTTTAGTAAAATATAAAAAAAATTAAACAAATAAATGAAACATTAAAAACTATATACTTACATATTTTAAAGTTTATGATTAGTGTTCTTGATAAAATTAGAATTGGTTGAACACTTGTTCTCCTATCGATGCGGTACGTCGAATAAATAATATAATTTAGTCCTTCAAGAGTTGTAGACAAGAAAGAAAATTTCTACATGAAATAATTTTAACGATATAATCATTTTGAATGTAGCAACAATTATTATATTTACATTACTAAGTTGTATTCGCACTAGCAATATTGTATTATTAAAGTTTAATGAACGGTAATTTTAGTTTTCCGGGTAGCATCCTATTCTCTAAAGTAACCATCCTAAAGCAACCATCATCGTATATATACAGAGGCAATCACGTGATGCAAGTTATGTGGCAGTCGGAATACAACAGTGCCAAAAGTGGGCTCTCCAAGCTGACGGACGAATGCAGTTTGGAATATGCATGAGGCTGTAGTCGTTGAATGATCACGCTTTCTGGGATCTGATCTCCTTGCAATCTCCATATGCTTCATAAAAGGCTTTTAGCAAAATCGCCAACAAAACTGATGACATCTATATAAAATGAGGCTCGAAAGAATCCATCAGATTTTTTTATATTTATTACTGATAGATTCTTTGATTGTCAATCTGATGAGCGATGTGATTCTACTTATTGACACAGTGTATATGATTTCGATTTTACTTTTTATATCGTTATTGTATAAGTTAATATTTTTGATAATCATTTAGCTATTCATTATATAGCTAATTTGGCATTTGGATAAAGAAGAACGAGCTAAATTGTCGGGAATCACCTTGGAATTTGCGTACTTATGTAATTTCGATTTATATTTTATATTGATAAGAATCCGAATTAAAGGGTCGAAACGTTTATTTTATTCGTTTTGTTACACGAAAATAAAGAGTTTTCTGTGCATCCGAATAACTGATGTAGGTTCTGATGGGCTTTTTTATATTTTTAACTGATGATGACATCTAGTAATAACAGCAAGCAATGGTTCATATCTCAAAATCGACGAAAATGTTACGTTTATTTCGGAATAACCAGTATTGATTTCTTGGCAATTGAGGTCGCGTATATAATGGCAATAACGCTCATAACTTCGTATTTGAAAATAATTTTCACAATAGGGACAGGAAAGAAATAGTAACAGTTATTTTAACTCTACAATTGACACATTTTTCAATATATATATACTACATATGTGAAAAAATATCACATTTGAAAAGAAAAAAATATCAATTATAGTAACGATCTATTTCAAGCAGCAACGCATGACAATAAGAGAAGAATGAAAAGAGAAAGAGAAGGTCTATTTTAATGTACTTAATTATTATTTATTGATCGTGTATAATAATAGATCATTATGTATGACCGCAATATGACGATAATTAACTATTTGAAAGTAATAAAAATTGCACAATATTTACTTATGCCTTGACTGATATACTTTTAGATATC